GCAGCTGCAGGCCGAACACGACACACTGCTAGAGAGACACAACAAGATCCTGCAGGAGGGTGTGGCCAAGGAGGCTGAACTCAGGGAGAGGTGAGGACCGACGGAGGTTTGAGGGTCTGACGTGACACCGTAGTGTAAATGTAGCTTAGTGTGGGAGTTCCTGCTGCCCGCTCAACACAGGCGGTCATGCCAGCCGCACTCAGTCGCTCACTCTGCGGTGGTCTCCACCCCGCCCTCCTTCCCAGGCTCCTCTCCCTGCAGTCGGAGCACATGACCCTGAAGACGGAACACGCCCAGACAGTGAGCCAGCTGACCGCCCAGGCAGACTCCATGCGCAGTACCTTCCGGGAGCAGGTACGCCACCTGCAGGAGGAGCACCGCAGCACCGTGGAGACCCTGCAGCAGCAGATTACCAGACTGGAGAGTCAGCTGTTCCAGCAGCAGCGGGAACCTGGCATTACCAGTAAGAGAGGGGGAGGGGAAAGCCCAGCATTTACGTGCGTGACTTGCATCATACACATACTGTAGATGTAAAGGTAGATCCTCCATCTTGGGTTTGAATGCCAACTCTGCAATGTTTGTTCTCCCCGTGTCGTGCGGCATTTCTGCCAGTCCATGTGTGCTTGGGTTAATTTGGCATGTCTGAGTTACCCACAGTGTATATGTGAGAATGTGTGTTCCCTGCGGTGGAGGGCGTTTCCCTGCCTACTGCTCTCTGCTGCCCACACAGGGAAATGGACTGCTAGGAGTTAGTGCACCCTGATGTTTGTTGCGTTGTGGGTGGGTAAGTCTATGACAGACGGATGAGAAATATTCGCTATTTTAGACATGGGCTCCACGGGGGGAATGAGCAATGTACACTAAGTGCTCTCATCACTGAACACGCCACCCAGAGGAACATTTGCTCCGGACAGAGTGTCTTGTCCAGCGCTGAGCAAAGGCAGCGCTCTGCCAGGTCTGCCAGGACTAATGAAGTGGCACATGTGAGCAGAGACACAGCGTGCGGGGAGAAGCCCGCTTCGCGGGTGCAGCGGCCCAGGCTGCATTTTCCCGTCTGCCTCCCGTCCGTAAATCCTCCCAGGGGTCCCTCTCTAGAACCGCACTCCAGCGGCGCGGGTTGTTTACAGCGACCGGCGCCGCCTTCATCTCCGCGCCAGCAGAAGCTCGTTAGCGGGGCCCCTGGGGGACCCGCCCACCTGCTGCTGCGGCGCTGGAGACACGCAGGGGCTGCGGCTGCTACCGGCGCGTGCGTGTGCGCGCCCATCCGCCCATCCCAGCATGGAGCGGGGCCAAGCTCCCTCGCTCTCTCGCCATTGCAGCGAGATTGCGTCTGCCTGCTCCCTGTGTTACACCCTCCACCTTCTGATTTATTAAGCTGCATAAGAGCGTCACGGTACTTAGCAGTCCTTCCACTTCCCATAGAAATCCCAGTTATGTTTTGTGCCTTTCAAAGAATGGGAAAGACACAGAATGGAATAAATAAGAGGTGGGGGTGCAGCAAAAGTGGAGGGAACAGCTTCACCCATCTCCAAATCTCTTGTCCGGCAATCGGTTCCAGGCCACCCAGCCACAGCAGCTGCCCATGCGTTCTGCTGCGGGACACTGGGGTCCGGAATGGTGAAGAGCAGGGCCTTGTCAGTGGCATTTCACAAAGGCACACACTTTGAATCCATTTTACTGTGCTTTGAGCAAGGTCCTCACTTTGAGTGTGAATTTCTGACTGCAGAATGAGGTAAATGATTCTGGACAAAAATGTTTTAGGTAAATATTATATAGCTTAGCTTACCAACTTTGTATGATAGGGTTGAATAACAACCATTATAGTTGATCCTTAATCTAGTAGTTGTTCAATGGCTACTTTGAACACAGTAGTATTATATGTATCGGGTACATACAGCAGCATTAGGGTATTGAAACAAATGAATTGCACAATAGTGCCCTCTGGTGGCACTATGCTTGTAAATTGGACGATTTAAGTGTTCATGGTTTTACTTCTTAAATAATGCTGAGTAATAATAATTTAGTAAATATAATTGTCTGTTTATTATTCTTTTCTCCTTCCTAGGTGCAGTGTCAGTGCCACAGGCTAGGAAGGCCTTGCAGGAAAGGAAGGCTGTAGACCTGAGCCTGTCGGACCTGCAGTCCATGGCACGGGAGGAGGGAGAGGGGATGGAGACCACGGAGACGGAGTCTACATCCTCAGCCAGCACCCCTTTACCGTCACTGGACCAGCTGCTCACTTCTCCAGACCCCAAGCAGGGTCAGTATCCTGCCTTCTCCTCTGCTGTGGCGGAGAGACTTTCAATCATGTTTTAATAACAGACATGCTTATTCATTTTCACAGACTAACATTAAATCACCACAGATGATTAACAACTTAGTGCAGTACATTGTAGTGAAGATTCGCTGTGTGTGCGCAGAGCCCTTCATCTGGTTAGCAGAGGTCAGCAAAGAGGAGCTCACCCAGAAGCTGAACACGGCCACGCGCAGCCTGGAGCATGTGAACGGCCTGCTGCACGAGACTGAGGCCACCAACGCTGTGCTCATGGAGCAGATCGCCGTGAGTGAGCCTGATTGTCTCAGCCGCTCTGTCCTCTGAGCTGCCGCTGCTGCAGGGGCTCATGATGGACGTGTGATGGACGCATCCCGTGTGTCTCACAGCTCCTGAAGAATGAGGTGCGCAGGCTAGAGAGGAACCAGGAGCGTGAGAAGTCAGTGGCCAGCCTGGAATACCTGAAGAATGTGCTACTGCAGTTCATCTTCCTGAAGCCAGGGAGTGAGAGGCAGGCCCTGCTTCCAGTCATCCACACCATGCTGCAGCTGAGCCCCGAAGAGAAGAGTAGGCTAGGGGCCATCGCCCTGGGTATGCTAGCCTGTCCTAGAGCCGATACTTACCTTCTCTCCTGTACGAGAGCCTCACACTTTACTCACCCTTCAGTCCTACTGCCTATATTGGGACAGTGATTGTAATACACTTTTTTTTTTTTACCCTAGAGCAGTTGTATCAATTGACAACTTTCACTGTCGACAACCCCCACCCCCCAACAACTTTTACTGTTCCCACCAGTCCCCTCGCTGTCACATACCTCCCCAGATTGTTTTCTTTGTAGAAGTAGCTCTCACTGTAAATAAGGTTGGAGAGCCTTGCTCTAGAGGACTATCACTTTGGACCCTTATAAGTTGTGCCAGAACAACACAGTTTCAGTCACTAAACAGTGTCCTACACTATCTAGTACGAGAGTCTTTATTGCATGTGTGAGTCTATAGCTAACTGGTCAAATGTGGTTTAATCGTTACAGGTGATCAGGAGTCAGTAGCAGGATCCCGGGCGTCTGGCTGGACTTCCTACCTGCACAGCTGGTCGGGAATCCGGTAAAAAGAAGGGGCAGGTGAACCAGGAGTACGTCACATCAGGGTCTAATAACACGCATCTGAAAACGCCTCTACTTCTCAGCCAGTTCTCTTCCTGCTATGTAACACTTCTTTTCTCCAGATCTGTATTTTTGATACTTTTTTTTGACTTTTGTATACTTTGTCATTCTGGAAGCCATAAACTAAATTTTACCATTGGTTTCAGCCTCTTATGGTCTGAATGTTTGCCTTTCTCCAATCACTCAATATATGCATCTTAAGACAGGATTTTTTTTTTGTAATCTGCACTATACGTGTTTAAAGTGGCCCGTTTTGTTTGTTGTCTGTGTGGATGAGTGTCTGTATCTGTCTGAAGCTCCACAGTGACTAGGCAGTGACGTTACTGCCCTATGACTGTCTGGTAACTCTCCCAGGATACTCTACTCTGTTTTGACATTCGCCACAGCCCCAGAGATACGCCCATGGATGTCCCCTTAACACCTCAATTTATACCTGATATTAACTAAATTATGGCAAGATTGTTTCATCAAGGTAGTATTTAAAGAAAACAATTTTGAAACAAATTTGATATTATTTGAGCCAATATCGGTAATTCTGGTGGCTAGTCCTTAAGAATAAAACTCGGGGAGTTAAAATATACTATAATGTGGGGCAACTGCATCAAATACTGGTAGCGTATAAATGAAAAGAGGTGGACACGCAGTACTGAATGTATTTAAAGTAAAACTGAAAACGAACCATGTTTTAATGCTATCTTATTTAAGTTCTTGTTTTTAGTTCTGTTAAATCCCTGTAGTTTGTGTTTTTAACAAATCGCTAGGTAACATTTTTTGGTTTGTCACTGAATTTTGTGTAATTCTGTACTAAATACCTGTAGTACTGACTTGAGATTTGGATAAGCTGCTGAGAGATATAAAATAAACCAGTAGGGGATATTAAGAGGACAAGTGCAATCTGAACCATATGTTTAAGACCATGCTTTAACTGTGAATGACCGAATAAAAATATACATTTAAAGTTACTAGATATCCTTTTATTTACTGATTTTCATGGGTTTTAAGTAAAGATTTCCTCACACATAACACAAAGGTTCAGAAACGTAACAAGATGAAAGTATACATAAAATACTTTATTGGTCCTTTATCGTGTTTATTACTGTCAGTTGGTTATACCATTATGTTTTGCTAATTATTTGTATTAATATACCTTATGAATACTTCATTGAAGGGAAAAGTTGTCCCTTTCTGACCAGTAGGACGCATCTAAACATCTCTTGGTGATTATTACACACAATGTCAGCTGAATAAAAGCTTATTTGGAACAATAAAAATTTCCACTACGACTGTCTATCTTATTTTTAAAAATACTCTATGATTACTTTTTTCGGAATAGGGTTCTCTAAACGAACTGTGTTGATCTAATCTTTGTAAGTAAATGTGTACTGTGATAGGATATAAATGAAGTTTGCCGGTAAAGTTAACGGTCCGCGTCGCTCCAGCAGCCCTTCGAGGAACAGCGCCATATAAGGAAAGTTATGCGGTTCCTGTCATTAAACAGCCCCGAAAGTGACGTGCCTCCAAAACTTATATATATAACTTAAATTTTACCCACGGCGATGTAGCTGTGAACTCTCCAATGACAGATTTTCGACGGATTTAAATCTCCTGTATTTATTTATTTTAACATAGGGCCTATCAATTAAGGCCGAGCACATTCAACTCCCTCAAGAATATAACCCCCTGATTTCAGTCACTTTTCTCACAAATCTGTTTTCTTATGAAAGAACGTTTTAAGGAAAAAATTACATCCAGCTATTAATTTGCACGGCTGCATGACTCCTCCCGTTCATAACTACTGACGATGTTTAATGTGCCGTCAGCATTTCCCATCATACCGTAACTATTTTGCTATGTTTTTTGGGGACACCACGGCTGCAGGACTCCTCCAGTCCGTTACTATCTTAGCCCAATATGGCCGATCGCTCCAGCCGGGCCTCAGAAGGGGCGGATCTGCCCAAGCCCACAGCAGTCCACTCCCGGGAAAAAGAGGCGAGGTTACTTCGCCATTACTGTCTCAAATCAGCGCTGTACCTCTCCCCTGTAGACATCTGGGGAAGGCGGTTAATACACACGAAAAAGTTTCTGAAGCAGTTTGTGAAAGGGGATGCTGGGGGTTGCAGACATGACGGGCAGGTAAGTAAAGCGACTGTCATTTAAACAATCTAGGCGTATGAACTGGGACTCTAGTGGTTTTGTGCCGTGATTTTAAGCTCGATTACATCTCTGTTTCTATCTCAACGCCGCGGTAAAATCCAACTAGTGATCTTTGCTTGGTTATGGTCGAAGCACGGTTCACCAAGCGATATATTTCTGAACCCGTAAAAAAGCCCTAAAAGGCGATGAAAACAGTTTGTAAATTTCTGCGTGTCCGGAACGGTGGTGCCTTTTATCTCTGCTGGCCCGGATGTGACTCTCCTGGGACGCCTGCAGGCGCGCCTTGCTGCAAGTCTCTGACCTACGCTCGGTCCTGCGGCTGGATTGTTTCCGATGGTTTCTTTTCTCTTGAATAAACTCTTAACAAGCGACCCGTCTTTTGTGGCGCCCCGGAGTACTTTATATGACCTGTTGTTGCTGCATAGCTTGTGGATCCGTGTTGCCATAGTTAAGTAAGGAGGGAAGTCCTGGAAATTTGCGACAATTATAGCGGTATTTTGCATGCCTCTATGCCAGTTTTAGCATGGCGGTTGGGTACTACACCCTTACTAAGTTTGCATGCCGAAGTTATGTCACCTGCTGCATGTTACTGTTCTTGGGCCAGTGACAATTCCAAATTTAAGAAACTAAAACTTTTTTATTATTACGTCATTTGACAGCGATTAACGATGTCTGCCCACGTACCTACATCAAATAATTATTAAATCCAGGCTTACATCGGTTTATTGTTTGCTCCTTAGTGGTAATTTTCTGACTAAAGTCGCAAAAACTGGGCTTGACATATATATGATATATATATAAATAAATAAACGTGATGCTCACAAAAGACTACTACTACTAATATTAGAAACCTCCCTGGTATTCCCAAAGGTTTTGTTGTCTTTGATTTTTAATGATTGAATTGAGTCTGTAACACGCAAGGCAATGCAGTTTCAGACCCAACTGTCAATCAGTCTACCTTCTAACAGTTTTTCCCCCTGTTGTGTTTTATGAAGAATGCAAGGAGTGATGCATGTTTGATGGAAGGGAGCATGATCTCATGTTATTCTCCTTAGATGCTGGCCAGATATTTATTTAGGTTTAGGGATCACTTTAACGGTTTTAAATTCTGGATGAGGCATGTTTGGGTAAAAACAAAAAAGTATCGACTTTGGGTATGGTTCGATTCCATCAGGAAATAGAAATGTCCATTGAATATGAAGATCCCCATTCCCAATCAATATGCTTGACCCTGTTAGTCCCATCCAGGACTGGTGATCTGTGTGAAAGGCAGGGTGCAAACAGATTGATTCCAGCGAAGACATTAGTTTACTCAATGAAAACCAACAAATGAATTAAAATCTGAACTGAAAGTAAATTTATTTTCAGAAAGTGTGTGTGTGTGTGTAAGATGGATTGCATCTGTCGTGCTTTGCTGAGAGTAGCCTGATTACCCCCATCAGCTCTCTCTTAATGGTCTGAGTCATTTTCTTCGGATCAATCGTAATGAGCAAATAGGCCCGTTGCCAGACAGGCGGCGCCATAGCTGGGCTTCTGATAAATGTGACAAGCACTTGGATGTGGTGTCCTTCTCTTTATTCAGTCCTCCCATGCAGAGGCTGACCTCTGGAGGAAGGGAGGACATTTTTGTTCTTAATGCATAGACTTTCTATCTAGAATTAGACCAAGCAGACCATGTATTTCTATCTTACTAGCTGGCAGTTCCAGTTTTATCCGTAGTATTTGGTGAACTGTTATCATGGGGAAGCCATGGTTCAGCAGGTAGGGGAATTGATGCAATTACATCTCAATTGCCATGAGAGTTAAAAAATAAAAAATAAAATAAATCCAGGTTACCGGATTTACAGAGTTAAAAAACGTAAGTTACTGTAATTGTTTGTCATTTGTTACTGGTAATAGATGTGGTCAGTTGCACATTGCCCAATTTTAAGGGGCTGCCATGCGCGAGTCTGGCATGGTGCTATCATGAATGTGTTGCATTGGGCAAACTTTGGATTCTGTAAGGTGAACAGATATCTAGACTTGAGTAGGGCTATCTGGTAGGGTTTAGTTACGTGCAGTTTCGATACAGCAGGGAAACAGAATTTGTTTTTAAATTGCTTTTTGAAACCGCAAACACAACTAGGAACAGCTGTAAACCAACCGTAATGCAATGTGTCTGTTGACATGTCTGAATAACAAAACCAAAGAGATGTCCATGTGCACACTAAAAATGTGTGTAAAATAAATGTATAAATAATACTGCATCATAACAATTACAATGAACTAAATCCTGTGTTCTCTACTACAGAGTAAAGTTGCATATCTGTAGTAAGAAATACCCCTATAGCCTTAGTTATATTTTATTATTCATTTATTTACTTTAGCTTGGTCTGAATTTCCTGGCAAAAGCATCGTAAATGACACTTGAAGAGTAAGAAGTATGAACATGCAGTCTTGGATCTTACTTTCACATGGCCACACCATGGCACGCTGTAGTGCTACGCCTGGGAAAGCTCTGTAATGCAAAGCAGTTCTCAAAATCACATTTATGAAGTGTGCTATGAATGTTATGTTAAAAGAATTTGACTAAAACTCACCATGCATTATGTGCATACAGTACCCAAGCCAAGGTTGTTGTTAATGAAAACATTTTTTTGTAATCTGAAATAAGATACAAAAATAAAATAAACTACAACGAAATGAGAACTAGAGATATTGCTTCCAAAAGTAACTGAAATAAAATAAAAACAAATGGCATACTTTTCCTTTAGCTTCCTTTAAATAGTATTTGATTTGATAATGATAAAGTATTGACTTATCTTTGGGCCTCTTTTGTCGAATCCACTTAAACCATAGAAAATGCCAATGGCACTGCGATCATCTCCATTATTTTAATGTCTATATATGTAATGCTGGTGCTGCTATTATATTATGTAGTGCAGATATTTTTGTTAGCATCTACCAATCGTTTCCTTTCCGGATCGTGCTGCTGCTAGTTGTCTTTGTCTCTTGCAGCGCAGTGCTAATAAAGACAAAGCTGCTTGCTTATATAAAAGAGCTTGTCTGTTATTAAAAGATGACTTACAACCAATATCCTGCTACAATATTGATCAAATGTAAATATCGGCCTGCAATGTCAACCAAGACTGACACACTGGACCGATACCGATATGTAAATCAATATATCGTGCAGCTCTAGTAAAAGTATTTGTTTACTTTGTGTTGTTTGCCAGATTTTTAAATGGACTAATCAAATTTTTTTTAATTCAATGTTAGATTACTTGACTAATTGAGGTAATCAATTATGCAATAGGTTTTAAGTGCAGCCCTACACATTAGTAAAATTTTGTAAAGAGATTGGTCGTTGTCTGCTAGTTTCTTATCTGAAATGATGCCTTATTTGCCATTAGTACAGGTACACTGGAATACTTCTTTTCGCATATCCTGTTTTACTGTCCTTTGAGACATACACACAAATACTAATGAAACTGAAACTTGCAGTCAGAATGATGGCATTAATCTGCCGGCCCTGGGATACACACCAGAGAACTTCCCATCTCGAGCATAGAACATGAACTCACTGAGCTACACACCACCCTATTTATAGACTAATACTAATAATAATAATAATAATAATAATAATAATAATAATAATAATAATAATAATAATTGACACTTTTATTAATCCCCGTGGGGAAATTCTTAAATACATAAGGATCGATGCATTTAGGGATATTTAGGCACCCATGTGTGAGAGTCGTATTTGTCAGTGATTAAATAAATTCTTCTTATTGTCTTATCTGGTAGCATTTAAAATCTACTTTAATATATTTATATCTGCTTCATAGCAACTTTAAAGTACTAGTCACTCTCAGAATGACTCATTGCTACAATGGCTCCCTCTGCTGGCGGGTAGGCTCTCCTGACGTTGAAGGTTGAAGCGAAGAGGCGTCGGGGTGTGTCGAAGTACTGTACTCGGCACTTGTCGGCAGGGTGTAATAACAGAACTCCTTTTGGACAGGGGCTGTGTTTTTGTGATCAAGAGCTCCCTGCAGTGACATTTTGTAATGTCGATGTGTTTACGAAGCGAGTCAGTTAGCTTTTGATGTGTGTCAAATACGGACAGAGAAAACTCTTTAACAGCTTTGCGTTTGTTTTACACTAAAGATTCAAAAGATTTGACCTCCGCATTTTGCTGGACAGCCCATCATACAAATTCCCACAGCAATATCCAAGTTAAGCAGATGAAAGATGAATGGACGGATGGATTTCCATAGCCTGTGCTACGTTAAGATTTAGATCAAGTAAGATAAGAATTGACAGTGCTGCTAAGCTTGTGAATTGTTGCTGTCCCGCATAACAGTAAAAAGTGCATTCTAATTGATTACTGTTACAGCGTATAATGCAAAATTCTTTTCAATGTGAATTGACTGCGATGTATGGAAAGCAGGAAGTTTCGTCGTAATTGCAATGCCCGTTGGTGCTCACTTAAAAATGAGAACAATTAGATCATATCGGGTTTGGGTTGGACTGCTGTACCCTTAAGTTGAACTGTAGTATATTCACCGTGCAGCCGAGTTCTGAAGCAATAGCTTTTTGGTAAGGGCTGTTATTCTGACTTATTAGGAAGTGGTGACACATCACTGTCATCTGTGACTCCTTGACGGCGCTGCAGGCTGTAGCGGTTCAGCCTTCCGGTTCATTCGTTTTCTTATTCTCTGATCCTGGTAAGTAACTACATAACTAAGGAAACCAATAGGTTTTTGGCGATATTTACATTTTCAGTTTTAGGCAATTGAAATTTCAGTGGTTGTTTTTTTCCTGAATAATCAGAAGTCTGGAAATACGTGCGGAGTTTTCGTCTACACATACATTTTTGAAGATCTGCTTTGAATTTTAACTTTTCGTGATAAGCACTACTATGTAGTATTGGAAATCGTTGTTCGTAATAGGACAAAATGAACACCCGTGTAGCACTTTATCACTTTATACGTAGC